GCACAAAGGGAGGAAGGCCTCTCCTTGCTCCTGGCCCGCCCCACACCGCACGGGCCTCCTCTCAGAGATGGATGCAGGCACAGCTCTCCTGTCGGCCTGCCAACTTTTTTTCCCTTCCTCCTCTCTCCCCTCCCTCCCTCTCTCCCTCCGCCCTCAGCCCTGCCCAGCCTGAGGAGGCAGGCAGGAGGCAGCCACTGCTCTAATAGGCTTTGGGAAATTCCTCCAAGTTGGCCCCACTCAGGGGGCCAGAGAAATCCAGGTGTCCCCGCCCTATGTGCAAAGCTCAGGGGGTGCCCAAGGACAAAGCCAGGCACTCCTGATGAGGCGGGGTGAGCGGTTGGCCTCAGCAGGTGGACGTTGCCCTCCTGAAAGCAGGCACCATGACCCTGCTGGCCTGGCACCCCCATCCCACCCCGAAGCAGCATTAGTCTGGAGTCCACGGGTCCAGGGGTCCTGAGGGGTGGTCTGGGCCTCCCACATCCCAGCCCAGGCCTGCCTACTGGATGTCACTGTCGGAATGTCCCAGAGCCCCTTGCCCCACTGGCCAGGCCTCAGTTGATGGGCGCACAGAGACATCAGAGAGTACAGAGAGCTTGTCTGTGCACCACCCTCCACTCTGTGGTCAAGGGCAGGCCTGAAACAGGCAGGGATGCGGGAGACCCCCCACTCTGGGAGACCTCAAGCTTCTGGAGCAATTTGAGCAAATGATCTCGGGGCCAGCGGGGGAAGATGCAGGCAGGTGAGGACTTTCCTCTCAAGCTGGCAGGCCGCTGGGGAGATAGGAGGAAGGATAGCTTAACCCAGAGACTGGAAGACCCGGGTGGAAAAGACGAGGAGAGGGGAAAGAAGGAGGGAGTACGAGAGGGAGGGGCAGAGAGACACGGACCCGAGAAGGAAAGAGGAAAATGAGACAGACAGAGGGAGGAAGAGACAGAGAGACAAGGAAGGACAGAGAACTATGATCAGTGCAGAAGTAGAAGTGAAAGAGATAGGTCCCCAGGCAGAGACAGAGAGAGCACACAGGGTGAAGAGACAGCTGGAAAGAGGGGATACAGGACTGGACCCAGAGGCAAGAATGGAAAAGAGAAAGATGAGTGAGCGGAGGGGAGGTGGGGGTGACCAGACAACGCCCCCAGCAGGGGGCGGGGAAGAGGCTGCTCTGCAGACCATCCCCGCACCTCAGCCCCTTCATCCAACCTGTGCCCCGTGTGTCTCCAATCCAGAGGCCCTGCGGCAGCCAATAAACTGAGCAAGAAACTGGACTCTTGGGCTAGGAGGCCAGTCAGGAACCCCCAGGCCCAGTCCACCAGCCTGCTGCATATTATTGTGTGGGAAGAGGAGCCAGGCGGGGCCCTGGGCAGGGCCAGGCCCAGAAGGGAGGGGCCTCTCTGGCCCTCCCCTCCCTCCTCCTGCCTGCCTCACCATAACCCTACACTGAAAGCTGGCTTCTCCCCATTTTACAGGTGGGAAACTGAGGCCCAGTGAGAAGAAAGACTTTGAGTTCTGTGTGTGCCAGGGGCAGGGCAGGGATGAGCACATGGATCTTGTGCCTCCTGTCCAGAGGCCATCTGCAGAAGATGACAGCAGCCCCCACTGGCCACCCTCCTGCCTGGCTGCAGAGCACACCAGGGCCACCCTGGCCCCAGTGATGAACCGCCCAGGGACCAACCCGGTGTTTGCCGGGAGCAAAGGCCCCGCAGGGGGTGGAGGTAGACAGAGCTATGCTCACCTGGGCGCACCGAACTGTCTGTAAGTACAGGACAGAGTGGACGTGTGGATCTGCAGCAAGGAGGCAGAGTGGTGGCCGTGAGCCCTGCCAGCTCCAAGAGCCCGGGTGGCCGGATAATTGGTGCCTTATTAACCATCCGAGAGGGAGCTGGCCCCGCTGGGCCACTTCCCAGAACCTCCTCTACGTCCTTCACTGTGGGCAGGCCTGGCTCAGCTCCCCATGCCCCGGGAGGCTCCTCACACGCTGGCCCATGGTCCTATGGTCTGATGGCAACCACGCCCCATGGTGAAGGGTTCTCTGGTCAGTCCCGGCGCCTTTGACCAGAGCTCCCTCCACGTGGCGGGGATGCCCTCTCTCTGAGGCTTTGGTGGATGGCCCTGTTTCCCCTCAGACCAGACTCTGAGGGCAGGGCTGCGGTGCCCCTTAGAGCAGGACCATCCCTTCAGGCCACAGGCTCCGTGATCACTGAGGGACATGTTCATTGTTCCCCCCCTTCCCCCTCGGCTTCCTGCTCCTGCTGACCCTCACACCTGTCCCTGCGCTCTGCTGGGTACAGGGACAAGTGCTGATGCTGTTAGGTGCTGGGGCCCAGTCAGGAGGGCCTGAGGAAGGCAGCTGGGGAGAGCTGGCACTAGGCCCACAGGGGCCACTGGACTCGGGCTGGTGCTGGGGTGCAGCACCCCAGAGACAGGAATCAGCCTGTGTGGGCCTGTGTACCCTCCTGGGTCCACAATGTGTCCGCGGGCCAGGTCAGGATCCATGCAGCAGAGGACACATGATGTGCCACTATGCATGAAGGTAAGAGTCACCTGGGAAGGGCTCGTTTATCCAACAGATATTTACTTAGCGCACGTCATGTGCCAAACACTGCTCTGGACACGGAGACATCTATGAGCCAGACGGCCCAGCTCCTTGTTCCCCTGAAGTATACATTCTACACCTGAGCCTGCAGGCTCTGTGTGGCTGACTGTTGGGGGGCACATGTATGTGAGTGTGTGCTTGCCAGGGGCCCATCTCCTCCTGGAGCAGGGCAGGAGATGGGGAACAAGGGGTTGTGACATTTGCCCAGGCAAATGAGTTACCCACTGGCTTCAGAATGATATGAGGACCCTCAGGGCAACATCCCCACCACCTGCCCCTGTGTCTCCCACCCCTCCCCGGGCCAGCAATGCCTCTGCCTTAATGTCACCATTATGCGCCTTCCTTTGGACAAGGGCATTGCCGTCACCAGGAGGCGCCAGCAGAATGCAGGCATCTCCAGAACAATGCCCACCTCATTCACCCACTACCTCGCACAATGCAGAGCGGCCTCTGTGACCGTGACCTGACCATTTCAGCGGGGAAAGGGGAGCACCAGGCCCCAGAGGGCTTCAAACCCCTCCACCTCCTTCTCCCTGGTCTGCCACAAATCCAGGCCAACCAGGGAAGGAAGGAAGGAAGGAAACAGCCTTTGTCTGACGGCCCGTCCTCATCACAACCCTGGGAGGCTCAGATGGCAGGTGATTTTCCAAGGAACGGCAGAACTGGGATTAGAACTCAGGGACCCGTTCTCTGTTAGGAAGGGCCCCTGACGGGTCTGGTTACCAGATGGAAACCCCACTGTTGGCCCAGGAGCAAGTACAAGGGCTGGGCAAAGCTGGCCCCAGAGGCACTGGGATGGGTGCAGGGTGGGAGTGAGAGGACCATCTTCAATTTCCCACATGACTGGGGTGGGGCAAGGAAGGGGTGTGTGGGGAGCGAGCACTGGGCTAAGAGTGCGCACATGGAGAAGCTGGGAGAGGCCAGAGCCATGCCTGCAGCCCCACCAGCCTGGGAGCTTGGGCTCTGAGGAGGGCACTGCCTCCACCCAGCTCCCCCTGCAGTGCGGCCCTCCCAGGGGCAGCGGCGTGGGCCCAGCCTCCAGAGCCCACAGGCCTGAGCCAGGCTAAACAAAGGGGGGTTGCCCCCCCTCCCCAGCTCCTGGGGCGGGGCTGGAGGCCATTCAGGCCTGGGCACTGTCTGGCCCTGCTGGAGCAACAGTCTCAGTGATCGCTTTTCCAGATGTGCCTTATTCCTGACGCGTCTGCGAGACCGGCATTCCAGTGGGAGCTGGCTGTTCCCAGGGCCATCTGGTCCCAGTCCCCACCCGGATCCAGTGGGAGAACCTCAGTTTTGTCCAGAGGTGGGCGCATAGAGCCTCAGATGTTGGCCAAGGATCCAGACCTCGGCTGTGTGGGGAGAAGACGCCCATGGGTGTGGCCGTGCCTGTCACTCTTAGCCAGAAGCTTCTGTGGAGCACAGGACAGAGGGACCGAGGGGAATGGACCCTCCCTTCTGGGCCAGGCGGGGATTTCCCACCCGCAGTCTGAGCTGTGGGGAACAATGACTTCACTCCCTCCAGGAGGCCCACCGGGAAGATGGAGTGTGAGACGGGAGGGGACTCAGACAGCAGACTGGCCAGGACCGTCAGCTCACCAGCAGCTGGATGAATTCCCCCAAATCCCTCAGGCTTTTCTAAATCACGGCAGAGAGCACTGGTGGAGGTGGCAGTACAGGACAAAGTCCCCGAGGGGCCCGGAGAGGGTGGTGAAAAACCACTGGATGCCCCCTCCCAGAGAATCCCTCTGCTGCCTCTGGCTCTGCCCCTCAGCAGGGCACTTGCTACCATCCCACCCTGAACTTGACCTAGGAGCGGCCAGCCCTGGCTCTAGGCCATCCAGATGCGGCCTGCCTGTGCCCGGGAGGCCTGGGCCAAAGCAGGATTTGGCACCAGTGTGGAGTCACCCTTCCTGTGAGGCATGGCCACTCCCCTCCAAGAGAGAGAAGAGGAGGGACCCAGGCCCAGAGCACAGAGACCAAAATGGAGACTCAAACTCCTTGGCCTGTCCTCAAGACGCTGCACTCATCACCCCTACGGCACTGGCCTGCACCCCTTCCCAGCCCCAGACAAGGGCCCAGGCTCCTGTGCCCTGGCCCTCTGTCCCGGGATGTTTGCAGGTGCACTCTCCCTCCTGCCCAAGCAGCCTCCTTCCTCCGCCTTCCCAGCTGCACCAGCCTCCCCCAGCCCTCCTCCAGGGCAGCACCCACAGTTACAGCCGTGAGCTCGCCCCCGCCTGGGCTGTCGCCTCCTGACCCCCGTGGGGTGAGGCTGGACCCGAGGGCAGGGCTTGGGTCTTCCCCTCCCTGCTCCACCGTGCCCCCAGCAGAGCCTAGCATGGGCCTGGGCGTGGCAGGGGGCTCATCTTGGAAGCATCTACTCTCTGTCTGTCCAACTCCCCCGAGAGACAAGATACCCACCTCTCAAAGCATGTGAATTCCTCTCTGACTAACAGATAACTGTGGGCCATTTAGGCGTCACACGATCCCCCTTAAATCAAAACCGGATTTAGCGGGGCCACCGGTGATTCACCAGAGATGGAACAATTTAGTAATTTTCTAAACTACTGCCTCCCATTCATTTCTCCTCTCACTGCCCTCATCCCCACCCCTGCCTGCCCTGAGGCTTGTTGGGCGGGGGGTAGGGGGTGGGGTGGGGCGGGCAGAGTCAAACCTATCTTTGGAAAGCAGGATTTTCTATTTTGATATTTTACCAACTCCCCAGTAGCAGCCCCTGCTTGATGCCACAGAGGAGTCAGAGAACAGGATGGGAAAGCTTACCCCTGCCCCGCTGGGGTCTGGGGTCTGCGAGAGTGTTGGAGAGTCTGGGCTGGGTTCCCAGGCCTGAATGGGGTGCCCTGAGGACACAGCCGCCCTCCCCCAACTCTGCTGGGACTGGAGGAGGTCCTCTGAGAGGGAGTGAGGTCACGATCTCTCTAGCCCTGCCCTTCGGGCGAGAAGGGCGGCATCTCTCACTTCCAGAAAATGCTAGTGGTGGTATTTGTCCCAAGCTGCCGACCACACCCTTGGTGGGGGGAAGGACCAGGGGCTCCACCTGGAGCCAGCCTCGGCTGGATGGGTACCTGGAAGGGAAGTTGCTGCTGGAACATTTCCTCACCCTGGGCACCCACGGGGCACTCCCATGTTCCTCTGCCCTGGCCGCTACTGCAGCTTCAGCTTGACTCTCCAAACCCCCTACCACTTGCTGCCCTGGCCCCTCAAAAATATCCCATATTTGCCTTGTTAGATCATAAAGCATCAAGACTTGGGAGAAGGGGGTGAGACAGCGGGGGATCTGATGCCCTCATTTTGCGTGTGGGGAAATGGAGGCTCAGAGAAGTGAGGGGACGTGCTCGGGGGTTTTTGGTGCGTCAGGGTGGAGCCAGAATGGTTCCTGCCCAGGCCTGGTCTGGCAGCTTCACCCAGCCTCTTCCTCCCTTCTCTGCTGGACTAGAGGCCACCTCCTCCTTGGACTCTAGCAAGGTGTCAGAAAAATGCCCAGGCAGCCAGAAGGTATCTTTGAGGGAGCCTGCCTTCTACTCACCCGTCCCCAGGACCTGCCATTTTCATGTCTCCCAGCAGGGCCTGAGCCACTTCAGCTCCCCACCAACGCTGTAGTCCCTGACATGTCTCTCCCTGTGGCTCCTGGAATTCTGCTCACTTTTTGAGGCTTCTCATGTTCCCCTCCCCTCTCCCACCCCAGGCCTCACCTAGGGCCAGCATCCCACAGGGAGTGTTCAGGTGTGAGTGTCCACCACCATCACAAAGGCCAAGGGCAGTACCAGGGCAGGGCTGGAGACGGGCCTGTGCCAGCTGTGCTCAGACTGACCCTTCCAACCAGTAAGGTGTATTCTTGGGCTGGGCTGTATCCCCAACCCTCTCCTCCTTCATTGTGGGTCCCCCCTCCTTCTTGCCTACCCTGCCAAGTCACACCTGGCCACAACACAGGGTGCCACAATACAGGCCGGGCTGTCCCCTTCCTCCTCCCCTGACAGTGACTGGACTTGCATGAATGTGCACGTGCACACAAACACAGGGCAAGTTCTCACACACGTGCACACACATATGCATAGACAGTGCACATGGACACACATGCATATACATGCAATGTGCACATGTCCAATGTGCATATATAAAACATGCTGCACTCATACAAACACCTGTGTATGCCCAAATACATACACCTGCAGGTGCAAACACATCCTCACATGTACAAATGTGTGCAAACACACAGGTCACAAATCCCTGCACCTCCAAAACCCTCTACCATGTATATACTGTGGCCCCTGCTGCCTGTACCCTGACCCTCGGGACCTCTGAACGGTCTCTCTGGCACCTCTGAGCACTCACAGCTGGGGCCACCCATGCTGCTCATAATCCAGGGGCCTCTCCCAGCTTCTTAACACGAAGCTGAATTTAAACAGTGAAGGGGAGGAGCTGTGGGCAAAAGGAACACAGTGATGGGTGTTTCCGTAACACCATACCTTTGTGATTCCTTGCTTGGGGACACTATATTTATTGCTACGTGTGACCTAGCCTCTCTTCATCTCCAGATGGGACCCCGTCACCCCAGGTGGGGATGAGGACTGGGTCTGACCCAGCTCTCTGCTCACAGCCAGGTAGGGAGCAGGCTCAGGGTGCAGGGCAGCTCGGGGAAAGTTTTCAGAGGTGATGAAACCAGCCATCTGCCAGCCCACCAGCCAATGTCAAGAGGGGTGTGCTGGCCCCCACAAAGCAGGGATGGGCAGGCCAATTATAGGATGCCCTTCTTTCTCTCTTAGGTTTCCTAGGATGTCATGATGCTGTGGGCTGGGGCCAGTAGGGGTAAGTCTAGGAGGGTGGGTGGAAGTAGGCAGGGCTGCCCTTGTCCCCATCCACCGGAGACCCCTCCCTCCGTGGTCCAGTCTGGGGATTCTATTCATGTGAAGCCAACATTCCTGGAGCCCACAGGGCCAGCAAGATCATCTCACACAGGCGGATTGCTGTCTTGCCTAATGAGAAAATGATGACATGGCCCCCTGCCCCAGGGCCCTTGTGCTCAGCCAGGCCCTAACTCCCCAGCCCCCAGCGCCAGCAGCCTCACCCCAACACACACACCTCCTGCTCTGTGCTCTTGTTCTACAGGTATGCCTGTCAGTCCTAGGAAGTCAGCTCACAGGGTGCCCATGTGGCCCCCTCCAGGGACCTCCTGTCACCAGGACTGGGCACCTCTGAACTCCCAGAGTATTAGACCATTAGGACAGAAGGGCCTTCAGGTTATTAAGACCCTATTGCACAAAGGCAAACTGAGGCCATAGGCTAAAGTGGCCTTCCCAATATCATTCACAGTGAGCTAGCCTCGACTTAGCACCTTAGCTAGGTGGGCACACGGTGGACAAGGAAGGACTCGCTGCCCCCAACGCACACACCCGCTCCCCAGGCTGACATCACTGGGACCTCTGAGGAGCCAGGGCTGGAGGGGTGGGGGCTGCAGGGCCTTAAACTCAGGAACTCCAGGTCCCTTATACTGATCCTGCCTCTGCCCAGGCCTGACAGAGGATAAACACACTGCTGGCAGCAGGCTAGGGATGGGTAAGAGGTCCTCCTGCAAGTCCTCCTTGTTGAAGAGCCAGAAGCCCTGAAAGGGGCCATTTTTTTGAGGCAGTCAGCCGGGAAGGAGGGGCCCGCCAGGCGTGTCTGCATTTTCCTCTCACCCCCACCCTGCCAGTCTAAGCACAGGTGGGCAGAGGAGGAGACCTAGACCTCGGGTTCCCAGGCTGTTTGGGGGACCCAGACTTACAAATACAGGGCAGTCAAAGAAGCACCTGGGCAAGATTATGAGCTGGAGGGGAGGGAGCAATCAGTGAGGGCGGGAGATATCACAGAAGCCTTTCTGGAGGAGGAGGACTTTGAATCATAGACTATAAAGGATCTGAAGGGATCACAAGGGCTGCCTAGCATCGCATATCATCAGACTCAGGAAGGTCCTTAATATCATCGCTGCCAAAGGGGTGTGACCCCTTCTGTGGGTACTTTCCCCCCAGGGAACCTCTTATGCACACATTGTGGGACAGCTCTTATGGTTACAGAGTTGCTCCTTATATGTCACTTCCCAGCAATGATGCCACCTTTCCCAGTGCTGCCGTTCAGGGCCACAGACCAAGTGTGTCCCAACCCCAGACCAGCAATAGCTCTTTAGAGCAGAAGCGGAAACTTAAGGACTATTTTCTAGGAGCTGCCACTTCTCAGAGGGGCCATCCCCAGGTCTCTCATGCCCTCTGTGCTCCTGCTTCATCCTGGTGGCAATGAGGGGCCCAAGCTCAGTAAGATCACGCCAACACAATTTCATTACCCCAGGAGTGGCCAGGAGCGGCCACTGCTGAGAGCCCCATAGTGTAGGAGGATGACCTTGGTCCATGAGGGAGCAGATAGTTGGTTCATGGAGAGTCCCACCCACTTCATCCTACAGCTGACAACCCAAGAGGGCTCCCATCCCATACACCTCAGTGATCTGACCCTGCCAGAGAGCAGAAGTGAGGACCACAATCAGAGCCAGGGCTGGTTTGAAGGGGTGGGGTCAGGCTTGGATGGGGCTGCAGCAAAGACAAATTTCTTTGGTAGAAAATCAAGGTAGGAAAGGGGAAAATCATTACAGGTTTTATTTCACATACCTTTTATAGCTTCTCCAAAGGCATTTGAGGATTCCATCAGTGCTTCTCAGACTTTAAGGTGAAGATGCCTGTCCCCAAGATCCCTGGGGATTTTGTTAAAATGCAGATCTGATTCAGTAGGTCTGGGTAGGGCCCAAGAGTTTGCATTTCTAATAAGCTCCCAGGTGATGTTCCTGGTTTCAGGTCCCCTGGTCTCAGGACTTTGAGCAGCCGAGGCTAAATTACGAAAGCAAACAAACAAAATAAACCCCTGGTCACAATCTAGTTAAAATAAAAACACACAAAGTAAGGAAGACAGGATGATACAGGAGACAGATTGCAATTGAGTATCACCCTCCATCTGAGCTTCCTGGAAGCTATGGCAAAAAAGGAAAGAATTGTTTACCAACTCTTACTCTGTAACAGGGGCAGCTGCCTGTCACCAGGAGAAAGTCTTTCCTCTGATTCTGGTTGCCCAGGAAACTGCTTGAGCAGATCTTACCATCAGGAGGTTTGAGAAACAGGCTGTGTTTAGGGGCACTGTGGGCCTTTCCAGGAGAAGGACTGAGCTTGGGCACCTCAGCAGGGTGCATCCCTGATGGAGAGTCACAGTTTAGATAACAGTGTCTAGCCTGGGTCAGCGCCATGGTCAGTGCCCATAGGAGACCACCCTCCCACCACCTACTGGCTCAGACACGAGCTGGCTTGAGGGCCTCTGACACCAGAGGAAACCAGGGGCTCTGATGCCTCACCACACAGCCCTGAGCGTCCAGGGGAGGGCAGCTAAGGCCAGATTTGAGCCTCCGGAAGGGGTGAGGTGGATCTGTGGGCAGTGGAAGAGCCCCACCTCTTCCCAATAATCAAGAAAGGCTTCCTGGAGGAGGAGACATGGCAGATAGATTTGTTTATGTAAAGGAAGGGAGGCAGTCTGGGGAGAGGAAAGTCTGAGCAGGAGGGGTGGGATGCGGTGGGCTTCCAGCCACAGCAGAGGTGGGGAGCTTCCCCACTGATCCTCTCTCCACTGCTGGCTCAGACCCTCAGAGAGAGGCTGGTGGGGGTGGGATGGCACAGTGCCCCTCTGCCACCCCCATGCCCAGGACAGCCTGAGTCTCTGCTTCCCGTGTAGAGGGCAAAGCCTGGGCCCTGCCTGCTCAGGGAGCACTCTCACTGGAGGTGCAAAGGCTCTGCCCTCAGGGAGTTCTACACCCAGAGCAGTGTGGGTAGGAGCTGGGGCTGAAAGAGGAGCTTGGACAGTTAGGGACTGTGGGCCAAGCCATGGATGGGACCCAGGGGGAGAGAGACTTGGTCAGCCTTGTGGCATGAGATCCTTGGGAAGTCACTGCCCCAGCCCAAGGCCCCTCACTCCTAAACAGGCATGTTCTCATGAAAGGCCAACCCTGGTGGTCATCTCAGCCTGAAGGGGGTTCAGGGAGAGCACAGCAGGGTCACCCGGGGCTGGGTTCTCAGCCTTCCTCGGGTGACCCAGGACACACCCTCTCTTCCCAGCCTCCTTTGTGTTGAAAGGGACGTGCAGGACCCTGATGACTTTCCAGTAAAGGAAATGGAAAATCTTTAGACAAATAAAGCCAAGGTGTGTCTGTGTTCGCAGGGAAGAAAGGAAAAAGCGCTTGGTGTTTTCTGTGATTGCCGAAGCCATCAGGGGCTGAGGAGCAGCGAGAAGTGGGGTTTGCAGGAGACACTGGGGCTGGATGGCTGCCGCTGCCTTGGCTGGTCAGCCTTCCTTCTGGGCAGGGCCATTCAGGGACTGTGACCCACCCTTCTCTCCGGGCTGCTCGAGGGGAGAAGTCTGAAAGCCTGAACTGAAGGAAAGGCTGGGCTCCCACCCAATCGCTTGCGGGTGTAGAAACCAGTACACTCGCAGATGTTTCCAGAGCCTCCAAGTCTCAGGCCTGGGCTGGCGACTGGGGCAGCAGCAAGAGAAGATAGGAGAGGAGGGGGTTCCAGGAAGCCCCACCCTCTCCTCCGCCCTGCTTGACCTTCCAGGAGGCAGGAGAGCAAATAGGAGGGACGTGGCCCCTGCCCTCTGTGAGCCTGGGGGCCCTAGCGCTCTGAGACTCGGTTTCCTCAGCTGGAAGTGGGAGGTGGGAGGGAGACGCCTGTCGGTGCTGCCCACCGTGCCGGCCGCTGGAGCCCTCGGGTCTCGGCTCACGAGTGGTCACTACCGCGAATGTCACCTCATCCAATTGCCTCATTTTACAAACAGGAGATCAAAGCCCAGAGTGGGGAGGGAGAGCCTTAAAGGGGCAACCAGAGAGGAAGACATTTCTCCATCTCATGCAGAAGCAGCTATGGGGCCCAATAAGAGCTGGGGAAAGGAGCAGAGGGACTGCCATTTGGCAGTGGGTTTGGAAAGACAGCGGGAGAGGGACTGACTTTCAGGGGTCAGTGGCCATGGCTAAGGTCCAGTTGGCCTCACTGCATCACAGCTTCTGCATGGTCATCCTTCTTGACCCTCAGTGAGTTAGACCCCCCCCCCAATTCCTGTGCCCTCCCATTCAGCTCCCAGTGGAAGAGCCAGCATCTACTGGGCCCACATGAGGTGCTAAGCCCTGTTCCGAGCGTTGTCCACTTACTCCTCATACCAACCTTCAGAGGCACAGGACACGACTATTCCCATCTTACAGGTAGGGAATTTGAGGCTCAGAGAAGTTTTTATTTTGTAACTTAGATGATACAACTCAGACGTTGGAGCTAAGCTCTAAACCCATGTCATCAAACTCCAGGCATGAGCTCATACCACTCTGCCAAGCTGTCCAGGGGCCTTTCACACAGCACAAACCCTGAAATGGGTGCAGCAAGGATCCCCAAAACCCAGAGAGAGTACAGCAGATGTGGAGGAAGCGTGAACCTCAGACCATGGGCTGGGAGCTCTTTGTTTGCTTTGCTGCCTGATTCCTGGTCCTCAGAAGATAAGCAGTTTCCAGAATGCCCACTGACACCCCCAAATGACCAGTACTAGAGATTTCAGACTCTGAGAACACAGATGGGGCACCGAGGCCCCCCAGTGGGCAGAGGCCCTCCCCAAGGCCACCGAGGGACTGAGAACCATCCTGCCGGACTGGCTGTCTTCCATGCGCCCTTGGAGGTGGCCAGACCCAAGGGAGCCGGCAGGTCCTGTCCAGCTGGCCCAAGGTCACCAACAGCTTTGAAAACAATGGGCAGTGGGTCCAGCCGTGGCCAGGGCCAGAACAAAAGCCTGGGCACTTCCTCGAATTGAGGCCCCCTCCTTCATGGTTTGCCAAGGCAGGAGACGGAGGAAGCCTTCATCAGGAGGTAGGGATGTTTTGTAAAGACTGTTCCCAGGAGAGCTGCAGCTGCCAGTGCAGACAGGAGAGCAGGCAGCGGGAATGGTTACTCAAGGCGGAGATCTGCTTGCCAAGAAGCAGGGGAGAGAGGGGCCTTGACTCTGGCCCCTGGGTCCCCCACCTTGCTCCCCAGGCTGAATCACTAAAAGGCAGGATGTCACCCATCTGCTCCTTGTCTCCACAGCCCTAACCCAGAAGCTGTCTTCTTTCCTCTGAGCCGCCCTCCACACTGTTGCAATGTCAGTCTTCTAAAACAGCTTGGATCCACCACTGCCCTGCTCTGAAACCCCCATGGCTCCCCAGTGCTCGCAAAGGCAGCTCAGGCTTCTTGGCCTGATGTGCAAAGCCCTTCAGGATCCAGCCCTAATATCCTCAGTCTCCCTGCCACCCCAGACTGCCCAGGCCCCTTTCCCCTGGCAGCTCTGCCCCTGCCCATCCTGCCCCGAGTGCCTCTGCCCCTCCTACCCTCCCCTTCAGGGTCAGGCTTCAATCCTCCCCCTCCGAGAAGCCTCCCTAACTGCTCCCGTTCATACAAGTCCTCTCCTCGGAGCCCTATGCCCCCAATAAAATCCAAGAAGGATCTAAGCCCGGGAGTTTGGAGAACAGGATGTCAGAAGACAACTGATAATAGAACAATCCTTCCTTTAGACTAAGGTTCCCATATGCAGTGCAGTCTGTTGACACAGTTGTGCTGACGTCATTATTAACAGCACCCCCTCGGGTTCAGCCTCTGTGCTGGAGCACAGAAGGGGTGAGGCAGAGGGGACAGGGCCCCGTGTCCCTGAGAGTGCCTTCCCTGGGCGCCCCGGCAGGGCACGGGAGGTGGGCGCTTATCCCCCAGGGCTCCACTCCACTGGGAGCTGGGACCTCGCTGAGCCTCACTGATGTGAGTGGGCCTTAAAAGAGAACTTGCCAGATAAGCACCCAGGATAACCCTTATCAAAGGCCGCAGGAAAGGTGCCAGGTTTAATCTCAAAACCACACCCAACTCAACGGTTTAGAGACCTCAAGCACCGCCTCCTCTCCCCAACACCCAGTGACTGTGGCTCTGGGCCTGGAGGCGGGGCAGGGGGGTGAAGGGAGGCTGCAGGTGTGGGCTGGGGAGGGGCTTTTTCAAAGAGAATGAACCTTGGGCTTCATCCCCCAGGATGGGGCTGGTACAGGTTGGTGGGGAGGGGGTAAGGAAAGACCAGGACTCCTAGGCCCAGGAGAAGGAAACACAGCCTGTGGTGGAGGGGAAACTTATAGCTGTGTGACCAACACCCACTCACTGGGATCTGGGTTTGTAAGAGAGGAGCTGACCAGAGGCGTGGCTGGCATTTTCAGCTGGGCAACCCAGGAGGGCTTCCTAGAGGAGGGGCCTTAGAGATAATCCTTGAAGGATGGGTAGTATTTGACAGACAGACACAAGAAGACAGAGGGCAGGGACCCAGGTGCTGCAAAGAGCACTAGCGAAGGCCTTAGGCAGCAAGGAGCTTCCCTGGGGAAGCAGCTCCTATGCTCTGGGATGGGGAGTGCATGGAGCTGGAGGAGGGAGTGGAGGTGGAGGGGGGAGGAGACGGAATTAGAGGCGGACTGGAATCACCACCCCCACGGCCTTCCCATTAGATGTATTCCCTTCCGCCCAAAGACCATCTTAGGGGTCTGGTCTCCAAGAGACCCCTGTGAAGCAGAAACATCCCAGGAGGGCTCTTAACTAAGGACTGCTACCTGGTCAGTTTCCCATTTGTAAAGAGAAGGCTTTGGTGACTTCCTGAAGAACAGGATGGGTTGTTTGTGGGAATGTGGGCTGGGCAGTGGGATGAAGCACCATGATATGGAAGGAGGGGTGTGCAGGCAGATTGTGATTGCTGAGTGCCCAGCCAGTGGGATTCTGCTCCTTCTCTCGTGTGGAGCAGGTCTGCGGGAGCAACGGCCCCCAGGACGTGCAGGCACTGGCACTGGACTGCCATGACCTACAGGCAGCCTGCCTGCCCACTTGCCCGCCCACCTGCCAGCCCACCCCTTCTCCTGCATTAAGCAATCTCCATTATCACAAATGCCTGGCATTTTTGCCTGGTAATTACAGCTCCTACAGCCCCGTGAGGATTAGGGCATGATTAGGGAGTAGGGAGAACTCTGGTAGGTGGAGAGAAATACCTGCACATAGGCTTGGCAGCCTCCTTGCCTCCTGCAAGTTTCAGGATCCTATAAGGGTGCAGTGGCCAGGGAGGACAGTCCACAGGGCCTCCGATAGCAAAGGCCATCAGCATCCGCCACCTCCATCCCCTCCTTGCCTCTCCACTAGTACTGCCTTCCCTGGGAGCATCACAGTAGCCCCGCAATGTGCCCCCCCACCCGCCTCTGCCTCACTCCCATTCGCCTGCCAAGAAGAAAGTTCTAAATGAAAGCTCTAAGCAGTCCTTGTCTCCAGAGAAAACATCCCAGCCCTGAGGCCCGCCATTGAAGGCCTTCACTTACTCTGCCTCGTCTCCGGGCCGCCCACTTTCAGGTCATCCTCGATGAGACCAACAGACGCCTTGGACTTTGATGGTCTCTTGGCTCTCTCACCGTTCCTTCCATTTGGAATGATCTTCCATCCAATTCTGCACTCGTCAAAACCCTGCCCATCTTTAAAGGTCCAGGTTGGATGCTGCACTGAGGAGCATCTTCTAGCCCACGCTGGAAATACTAAGAACAAACTTACCAAGTCCTTGTGCTGTGCAGGCCCTGTTCCACGTGCTCACAGTGTATTGACTCACCTCATCCTCATCACAGCCTATGAAGGGGCCATTTTACCCATGAGGAAACTGAGGTCCAGAGAGCTTATGTCAAGGGCTCATGGCCACAGAGGCAGGAAGCAGTGAGTCAGGACTAAACCTGATGCAGTTTCCTCCCTGGCGGGCCTACACACACTCCTCCTACGCGTCCCTTCAGTACTTCTTCACTATGCGGACGGCTTCTGAGTTTCCACACTGTCACCCCACAAAATCACAAGCTCTAGGGCAGAGCTTCCAACACTTGCCCCTCACTGCTCCCGGCCCTCCCAGCAGCCTGCACCCACTCTGCCCCCTCTTCTATCACTGGTGACTTCAACGGGCTAGGGCCCAGCCCTGGCCCCTGACTTTCCTTCCAGCTCAGACATGGAGACCCTGGGGAGCAGTCAAGTAGGGTCCAGACGCAACCCCAGTGTAGGGTATCCCCCAGCGTCCCCTGAGTCCTGGCCCAGCTCTGCCCCCAGGAACTCCTGCAGTTCCTCTGGAAGCTGCTCTACTTACCTGTGTCGCTGCCACGTAGAACTGCAGAGAGGTGCAGGTGGTTCTGCCGAGGATGGCTCATCACGCCCACTGGCTGTGGGAGAAGGCGAGGAAAGCACTGGGCAGGCAGCGGAAGAGGCCAGCAGCTTGCAAGGACCTCCTTGGAGAGAGACATCAGTGCGCTGGGATCCCCTTCCCCACTTCCTACTCATGGGCCATCTCCTCTCCTTAAGCCAAGTGAGGGAGGCTTCAAGAGAACTCCCTGAAAGAACTCCTTGAAAGTCGTATGTGCCCCGCAGTGTGGAGCGGTCCCTGACTCCCACCTGAGAACGGTGAGATGTCGCGCTCCTGAGGGGTGGCTGAGCCGACAGGCAGGCTGAGGTGGGAAAGGTCTGACTTCCAGAATTTGGGAGGCAAAGATGCGTTGGTCCTTTGCTTGGTTCAAATGTGGATCCCGCAGAAGGACGACTCCTGTCTTCTTAAAAGGGGAAGAAGGGAGGTTGACTCCACCAGAAGCTGGGTAGGGGCAGGTGTTGGGAGCTTCCATAAGCAGCAGCCTAAGGATGAATCAGCTGACTCAGGAAAGACCCCTATGAGTAAGAGGTCCCCATAAGAGCAGGGGGAGGGGGCACTTTTCAGTGATAAGAGTATGGGGCTAGGTGTTGCCAGCAGACTGGTCTTACTGTTCACACTGCCGGAAGAACAGTGGGATCAGCCTTCTCTTTCATCCAGAGACCAAGGAACAAATGGCCAAGAGAAAGAGAGAATCCAATGAGAAATACAGTCGTCCCTCGGCATCCGAGGGGGGTTGGTTCCAGGATGCACCATGGATACCAAATTCTGCAGATGCTCAAGTCCCATCGTTGGCCCTCCAGTATCCACAGAGGCAGAACCCACGGATACAAGGTGCCAACTGTAATAAGAAGGAATAAAGCTGCTTCCTGCTTGCAACACATTGAGTTCTGCTTTTTTCAGTAAACCGGCCCCTTGTGCATGTAGAGGCCAGAGAGGAGCAGGCAAGCCCAGGTTCAGCCCTTGAGAGGCCACTCAGCTCTAGGATATGGTTCTTAACCTTTCACAGAGAGTGGGGCGTTGTTCCAAGTCCAAGGCCATGAGGTAGGCTATCGACTCTCTCCTTAGGAAATTACACAAATGTACATGTACACAAAGATTTTAATATAATTTGGAGGGGGAGTTATGGGCCGTCTGAGGCTTATTCACAGTCTCCCTAGAAAATTATTCAGCCCAGATGGAGACCACCGTGTGCAAAGAGGCAGGGCCTCTATTTCATTCTTGCAGGTTTGGCAGCAGTACCTTGGGTTCATTCTGGCTTGTGGGCCTGGGAGAGGGCAGTGCCGGACTTTGCTCATCTTCCTTTACAGAAAATTCCAGGCAAGGGGCGTCATATTGCACATGTACCTATGTCTTGGCTTCTAGAAAAGTGCTTTTGTAATTTGTTGGAACCAGTCTTCTCAAGCAACGCTGGGAATATTTTGATTTCTCCAGCTCCGGCAATGGGACCTTGGTCAGGAGGTTAAGTGTTTTATTGAAAAGACACACTTTTCCTTCCCAGGCTGATAAACAAGGCTGCTGCGGGGAAACCGACTTCCTCCACTCGGTCGCTCAGCTGGAGCGGCCTGGCCCTGGCCAAGGAAAACAAATGCATAAACATTTCAGGGACATATAGGAAGCATTTCTGCCGGACGCCTGCTGTGAATGGCTACTCGAGTTTACATAGCAAACCCCACGGGGACCTCGGCACAGCCTGGACAAAGCGCTCCCTGCCCTCTCACTTCCCTCCCAGCTCCTCCCTGCTGCTCCCCAAAGACCCATAGTCTGGCCACTGCTCATGCCCAGCCCACCAGAGCGCAAAACAGCTTCTTAAGTTGTCACCAGCGAATGCCAGTTTTGCCTCCTGCATGCCTGGCGCTTAAAGAAAAGGGGTCTCCTTTCAGCCAGTGCTGCAGAGGGAGCACAGCCCCCAAGATGCTTGTGCCCTGAACCCTGGATGGGTGCAGAGACTGGGGACTGGCTGCCGTCCAGCATCTAGGAGTCTCCGAGGCCTCTCCCTGGGCCGGGGCAAAAGCAGGAGGAATGTGTGCCCTGGTCCCCGCGTGTAAACACCCATCTCTGCAGGCCCCACTCAGAGTCCTGGCCCAAGCACTTGGTGAGCACAGAGGGGTGGGTGCCGGACGTGGCTCTGGAGGGCTCTGCCTCCCACGTGAACAGTCACAGACAGAGGACCCTGGAGGCCGCGCTCTGCCTCTGGGCGCCCCGGCTGACCACTGTTGGGGGCCACTGCAGAGGGGTCCGTAGCTTCCATTTTTGACACAACCCTCTGTCTCTGTTCTTCTTCTTCACCAGCCTCCCACTGTGTTGCTACACTTGCTCATATTTCTTTTTGGAATCAGGATACAAATCAGTGACATGAAGGCAGCTCTGAGTGTGTGATTTTCTGTTCACATGTGACTATGGAGTCTCCCCCATTCTCACCTACCCCACCTAGAACGCGAGGGTCTCCACATCTCTGCCCACCCACACTCTCCGCTGGTTCTCTCCACACACACACTCCACTGCAGACACACGGGGGGCGCCGCACCCAGTCCGTCTCCTCATCCTCATCCTATTGTCCTCCATGGCCCAGTGGCTCCTCCCTAGAAGGTTCTTTTCCCAATGCTCGACCAGTCTAGCCTACCCTCCAGTCCACATGACCATCCTCTCGGGGTTTTGCAGGGACCCAGGTGAAATGGGCAGCCAGAGGGCCTGAGTTGCTCCTGGTCAGCACAGCTTTTGGAACCTGGTGCCTCAGGCCTGGGGCTGACCGATAGAAGACAGGCCAGAACAGAAGCCCAGCCAGGGACACCACTGGCCCAGAGGGCATTGCTGGTCTGCAGCTAGTAACAACTTAGCCCCCAGGTCTCTAGGGCACTGGGGCCCCACCACCCATCCCCACTCCAGCCACCAACCGTGCAGACCTCATGCTTCCTCTGTGACAACAGAACAAATGAGTCTCAGCCCTTGGCATGGGTTTGACTCCTGCTTTATAGAAAGCCAACTATGAGAAATACGGAGCGCCCAGGGCCCCCGGGCCAACCAGGTCAGAGGCTTGGTGAGGGGGTGGCCCAGCAGGGAGGGAGGAAGGGATGCAGAAGAAAAGCAGCAGAGCCGGGGCCAGCCTCCTTCCAGTCCTGGGCAGTCACAGCGCAAGGAGGAAGGAGGGTGGGGCGAGTAGCAACACCCTGGGCCCTCGTCACAGTCCTGGGCGGGCCCTCCATGGCAGGGGCAGGGAGGTTCTGGATGCTTCTGCAGCAGCACTGGCCCAGGTGTGGGTGACACTCTTCTGAGAGACTTGTCCCTGAAGCCTGGGGCTCAGCCGTCACCCCCAGTGATGAGCGGTGGAGCCATGGGGCTTACCAACATGAAGGGTCACAGGATGGGGTCTGAGCCATTCCAGTTCACCGACGCCCCCTTCCACCTAAAAGCAGAGGAAGAGAGAGTTAGGGCTGCAGGGGCCCACACAGGAGCCATCTCTTGTCCTCACTCACGTTAAGTTCCCATCTGGGGGGCTTTGAGGATTTCACCACCCCCACCTCACCCCTCCACGACTCACTGACAAACATATACACAGGCCCTTGCAAAACACAAATGTACCCAAGACCCCAGAGAGCAATGGAGGAGACAGAAGTCACGCTTTCATTCATTCACTGGTGCCGCACTTGTTGACTGAGAACCTCCCTTGTGCTGTTGCTTCAGGGTACTGTTGGCGATGAGTGGTCTACACACAGTTTAATCCAGCCACTTTCCCGGGGAGCCTGAGGGTGGCACTTTAAAGGCATGTGGGAAGACCCAGGTATGAAAAAATCCTGGAAGGTTCAAGGCACAGATGGAGGTCCAGTTGCTGGAGCCCAGAAAGGTAGGGAGAGAGGTTTGGCACAGGACACAAGGAGCCACCGGGGCGGCACCGCCTGTCACCTGGGAGGCCTTGCGAGGACTCTGGGCTTTGCTCTAAGAGCAAAGTCACCAGGAGAAGCTACTGAAGGGCTATGAGCAGTTCAGTAATCACAGATCCGCATTTTTAAAAAATTACTTTATGAAGCCTTAAGAAGCAGCGAGCATAATTAAACAGTAGTCCAGGGTTAGATACAACTTAATAATAGTTCAGTTTCAAAATTAAAGTTGTTGTAGGTGAGACCCTGGCACTTCCCAGCACTTGATTTTAATACATGGAGCTAGTTTTCTAGAACAACTCAGAGGAATCACATTTAGTGCAGATGGAATACTTCTGAAAAATCTGGCTTTGGTGTTATCCTAAGATTATACAAACTAGGAAACAGATGTTGCATACCTCAACAGCAGCACTGGAGCACGGAGTTTGAGACTGGGGGTTAGAAATGCCTCCCGGGGTGCAGGGTTTGGGGAAAGAGGAGACATTTTCAAAACCTAAAGTTTTTTTGAAGTCAAAATTGTAACTGGCCCAGGGAAATAGGCATGCTTTTCTTTCTTTACTTGTACATCTGCATTGGAAAGTCCAGTACAGGCCTGTCTCACTTTACTGGGCTTCGCAGATACTGTGTTTTTTTTTCACAAGTTGAAGATTCATGGCAACCCTGTGTTAAGTCTATCAGTGCCATTTTTCCAACAGCATTCACTCTGTCTCTGTGTCACATTTTAGTAATTTTCACAGTAGTTCAAACTTTTTCATTATTATATTATATTTGTTATGGTGTTCTGTGATCAGGGATCTTTAATGTTATTATTGCAAAAAGATTATAACTCGCTGAAGGCTCAGATGATGGTGAGCATTTTGGCAATAAATTATTTTCTAATTAAGATATGTACATATTTTAGGCATAATGCTATCGCACATTTAATAGACTACAGGATAGTGTAAACATACTTTAATATGCACTAGGAAACCAAAAAATCGTATGACTCGCTTTACTGTGTTGGTCCGCAGTATCTCTGAGGTCTGCCTGTATCCCTGAGATTGGAACTGGAGCAAGAAGGGAGTGAACAAGTTCTCCCAAAGTAAGACTGTTGCACATCCCAGCCGAATGCCTGGAAACACCATGTGATTTCAGTAGGGGTTCAACATTCTCCATCTTCATGAATGATTTAGACCCCCACTGAATTTCTCCCTCCTTCTTTCCCCAGGCTCTTCATCTTTCTTCATGCCTGCACCTCGCTTCAATGGCCACATCAACATCTCTGAGTTTTAGGTTGAGAGGGACAGCCTTGCAGAGGCAGTGGGATTCATACTCATTCTGCTCTTCCAGCTTCCTGATTATACACAACTTCTTGGTTTCTGTAGACTCTATGACCCTTTGTTGAATATTTTGCACACTTTACACCGTTCCATTCCCCTCCAACTGAGCAAAAAGATTTCTGTAATTTGGAGAAAAAAGAATCTTAGCTGTAATTCTGTGCTTCCTGCTCCCATAGAAAGGTTTAGTAGGAGATATTTGCATATGCACATATTTGCATATTTGGAACAACTGACATTGCATTCTCCTTCTAGGGCTACCTAAGGCACTATGAGGACAGACCTTCCATAACCACTGGGGAATATGAGAGTGTAAATGTTGTTGTAGTCTAGACACAAGACACAGCCCCGCCCTGTGTTGTGCGTGCCAATTGACATCCCAACAAATTTTTCTGGTCCAAATATGAACGCTGGATTGCATCTTCTTACTAAAACATTCAGCATAAAAGGCTGAGATGGGTGGATGATGGAAAAGCTACTCAGCCATGAATGTTACACTGTTTTAAAGAACGGGTCCTTCCAAAACTAGCTCTACGTTCTCTCCAGTGTCATTTGGTGACATCCCTCAGCCCCATGGTGCTGAGAGATCTCACCCCAAATGAGGTTGTATGGTTTTTTGGAAACTGATCCCTTCCTTCCTGCATGAAAGGCTGAGAGGTACCATTTCACTACCTGAACCATTTGGCCCCTGGGATCCTTCTGATCACAAATATTCATTGGTAGGTCTGGATGTGCAAAAAGTTCACGTACGTTTCTAGAGGAGCTCTTCTCTCAAGAGTAATTGTTGGAAGAACTACCTAAGTAAGATCCATTCCAAGCCTAACTTGTGATAAGAAATACGTGATCATCTCTCATGCTCACCCACGGACCCTGCCTCTGCTTCATTATCAGTCATGTCATGTGAATCGACATGGTCAGCATCACTTGTTCCATTGGATGTGGAAGAATTAAGTGATTCTTTGGTACCCAGATGTTTTAGACTGTCTCCTGAGCAGCTGTGTGTCAGCACTGAGGCAGATCTAGAAGAATCTATTAGACACTTCGGGGTTGAGCCACTTTGATGGACTCCATCAGCATCTTAGCATTCATCACTGCTTGGAGGAGAGACACTGGGATGGTATCTGGAGACAATTGGGCATCTCTGGGAGAAATCAGGCTGCTCGTAGGTGGTGAGTGCCCACTGCCTGCACTTCTGGCGCTGGACCCTGATGATGTCTCAGGGTAACTAATATTGGTCCAGCTGATAAGAAAGATCGACACAGCTCTGACTTACACAGCTGAGCAGGTTCTGGAGGTAAGACGGGCTGGGTAGGTACAGTGCTGACCACAGGTCCCAAGGGACTGGGTGGACCTACTGTGTCTACTGGCTTAACAGTACTTCAGCGATCTGCAGCAACACATGGAAGGGCCTAATTGACTCGACCATGCAACTTAAGGATTTCAATTTTCTTTCTCTGTGTATCATCTTTGAAGTTTTGAAATGCGTCATTAAAAAGCTTTTACTGTTCTGTGAAGATTTATAGGGGAGCGTCAGCCTCTGTAAGTTTCCCATTAAAATCTTAGACACTAGGGGCACACCCTGAATCCAGATCCCCAGAGGGCAGCAGATGGGAGGCAAGGAGGAGAGTGACATTCTTGCCTGCAGCCTGGCTCCAGACAGGCACCAGGGACCCAGATTTGCCAAGGGGAAACTACTGCCCAGACTAGGGTAGATTCTTGCCCCCAGTCACGGAGAGAATGAGGGGAAGAGTCAGAAACAGACCAGACTTCCTGTATCCTTGTAAGACCTATCCTCAGCCTGGCCCCCAAGGGCCTCCCCTCCTTCCTCCCCACCCCTCCCAGCCTTACTCTCCCCACCCTGACAGGCAGACAGAAGGTCCTCCCAATTTGCAGACCCCTCAGATCCTGACAATATAGGCTTTGGCCTCAGTGCAGGGGTGAGTCACACTCATCTGCTGCTAGACGTCCATGTCACACCACCAGTCACTGAGTCCTAAGCTTAGGCTGTGGGGTTTATGCCTCGCTTTGAGGCTTTTAGAGAGGTAAGTAACCTACCCCACCATGACCAACAGGTGCCGGGCAGGGAGAGTATTAGAGACACAGTAGAAGCTGTTCACAACTACAACAGGAAGTAAAAGCAGAGACGTTTTCAAAATTGAAAGGGCTGAAAGGCTAGGATGCTGAGCTTCTGTAGGGGATTAACGGGTCACTGGCAGGACTGGTTCTGAAAGTCTGTGGGTCAGTTACAAGGATGAATAAGAAGAGCCCTGCATATGCAATTAGGGGCTGGTAGAGAGACAGGAGGGATGCAGTGAAACAGACGGACTTCTAAGTGTGGAGGAGGCATCCAGGCTCACTCAGGCTTGCTGATGCAGGAGGAGGCTGAGCGCGTGAGAGTTTGGAGCCTGGGCACAGTGGACATTTTGGGCGGGATATTCTGTTGTGGGGGCTGCCTTGTGCATTGCAGGATGTTTAGTAACCCCCCCCCAACCGGAGACAACCAAATATGTCCCCAGACGTTGCTAAATATCCCCTGGGGTGCAAAATTGCCCCCAGCTGAGGACCACTGGCTTGGGGGTTGAGCTCAGTGAAGACGCTGTGGTCCTCAGAGCTCAGGTCAGCTCAGCGTCACAAGCAGGCCATGAATGAGACCCTTTCCTCCCCAGGGACCATCACCCCAACAGAGTGGCAGTCACCTCCTCAACAGGTTTTCAACATTGATGAGACTGGTGTATTTCAAAGGGAGAAGATGCCTGATAGAGCCTGTATCAGCAAGGAGAAGAGCGCAGGCCTGGTTTTAAAGCCCCCAGAGCTGACCAGTAGGAACACCCCAGAGCTCCTCTTACTCACTTCGGATTTCCAGATGAGCATCCCTGTGTGCACGCATCCTGTCCTGCACTCCAGCCACGGGGAGCCAGAGCGGCTCCAGAATGAGCCCCATGAGCTATCTCTCACCCGAAAACCTGGACTTGCTGTGCCCTGGAATAACCATCCTCCCTCCTCACCCCCTCATCCTTCAGGATCAGATCCAGGAGCCCTCCTTCCAGAAGCATCCTTCCCTAGCACTGCGGTCAGGCTCTCCCCGGCCATACGGTCATGGCGTCTCCCTCTCCCGCTAGACTGGGAGCCCCCAACAGGCAGAGCTGGCCTTGCCTTCATCCTCTCTACGACCTCGAGCTCAGTGCTGGGCTTCCAGGGGTGCTGCTGGATGAATACATCCCTGCACATCACCTGCCCCTCCACAAGCCCAGGCACCAGCGGGGAAACCTAAGTCTTCACCACATTCCACGCTCCCTTCCCTCTGACCCCAGCAGTCACCGCCCACCAGTCCCTCTTCCTCTGCCTCCTCCCATTCTTCCTCCTCTCCCCACTCACGTGTGAGCCCATAAGGTCTCCAAAAGGAAGGGAATGCTTCTACATCTCTGCTCTCGACCTCACAATGGCACAGGGAAGGGACAGATGGGGAAACTGAGGTCCAGACAGAACCAGACCTTCTGGGGGCCATGCCATGTGACAGCAGCAGAGCCATGACTCAGCTGAGATCTCCAGACTCCTGTTCAGTGCTCTGCCCTGCATCATGGCATGGCATGTGTGGTGAACCCAACCAGGGCAAGGAACACCACAGGCAGTTATGTATGTGGGCTGCAGGGAGGGGAACCAGAAGGGGGCAGCTGGGCAGTGGGAGCACCCAAGAAGCCCTTCCTTGATGGGTGAGAGGCATGGGGAAGAGGGCACCCATGCAAGAAGGGTGTTGGCAGAGGTGTGAAGGCTGGAGCAGGCCCCCCTGGCGGGCAGGGGAGCAGCTGAGGGAGGTGGGCACTCGGCTCTAGCCCCTCAAAGGCACTGTTCCCAGCTGAAATTACATTTTCAATTTCTTGTCTCAGCCTCCAAACAGAAACATCTGTGGGCCAGCCCCAGGCCCCGGTTATGAGATTTTTCCTCTTTCCTCTGGACTGTTGACAACTCTTTCATTTTCTCCCATTCTAGCGAGGCTGGAAGCTTGAGAGAGGTCACCATGTGTGTGTTGTTTGGAAATGACCACACATGAGTTTCTTTTTTTTTTTTGCTGAGATGGTTAGAGAACAGAGGAGGGAGGGGCAGATGGACCCTACATTCCTGACACGAGCGAAGGTAACAGGAGAGTTTCTGAGGCCGATGTGTGCGTCACATCAGACACTGGAGACAGAACGACGCAGGGTTGGTTCAAATTAGGATGCTCTTCTCCACAGGCAAAACTGGCAGTCTGGTTTTGTGCAATGTCACCGTGGCAACAAAGCCAGGTGGCGGGAAGTCACACTTCCCACTCAGTGGCCTTCTACTGCCAGGGCAGCATGGCTCTAAGCTCCAGGCCCTGCACTGCTTGTGACCCGAGGTGTGGCCTGGAGCACAGACCTCCACTCTAGAGACCACTGTCCGTAGAAGGAAGGGCCATATCTGGTGGTGTCCAAGGGCCTTTCTGTGGATCCAAGCAGGCTGCCAGGTGGCCAGGTATGTGGCACACTCTGTGTGGGTCAGAAGTTTGAAGGCAGGCAGTGCATCTCTCCCTGGATCAGAGCAGAATTGATTCTGAACTTGACTTCTATTCGATTGTGAACTCTGAGAGCAAGAACTAAGTCTCATCCAGCTGTTTCTTCCCTGGAGTCCAGCCCAGGGGTTCCATGAGGTTGAAGTGATAGGAGGGAAGCCCCACCTGCCCCCCAGGTTGGTCTACCCTGCCATGAGTATACGGCTGCCTTGGAAATGACCTGAGCTCGGGCCGTGGCACCACGTGTACCCCTGTCCTACCAAGGCAGCAGGATTGGTTCCCCAAGAGGCAGGGCTGCAGCTCCAGCGGGTCCTCACTAACCTTGAAGGCCACTTTCCTAAGTTTTCCCCTTTGAGCTATTTGAGAATCTGGGATGAAAACAAAACGCAAAGCCTTTGTAATCCAATCCCTTGGAAGAGGATTCCAGGAGGCTGGGCCTGCTGTTTCGCATTACCATGGTATGTTATCTGATGGGTACCTCAGGGGAAAAACCCAGCATTCCCACTCTTCATTCATCCACTCAGCTTTCCGGGAATGATGCTAAGAAATGTCTCACCATGTTAACTGCCCAGATGGACCCATCGTGGTGGAGCAAGTGATGAGGGAAGTAGAACTGATTTCAGCAAAGTCCTGGCAGGGGATGCAACACTCACACTTGGGGGGGCAGGGGGCAGCGGGCAGCCAGCAGAGCCAGGAGGAAAGTCCCCTGGTCCAGTGTGTTATAGCAGGCCAGACATTGGAGGGTCAGCACCTCACTTGACATCTGACTCTCACAAGGCAGCCAGGAAGAGGTAGGCACTGCCCTCACCAGCCACTAGAACATCAATTCTCAAAGTGCAGTCCCAGGACAGCAGCACCAGGAGCACCTGGGAACGCTTCAGAAATGCACATTCTCAGGCCCCACGCCAGACCTACTGAATCAAAAGCCCTAGGGGTGGGACCTGGTGTCTGTGTCTCACCATGCCCCCCAGGGGATGCCTGCTGAAGCCTGAGGACCATGCTCTAGAGCACATCTTCCCAATGAATGGCAGGGACGAACACAGATGTGCTGGGACGCTGATCCCCTCAGCCATCAGGGAGCTGCGTGGAGTCTGGGCCAACCAGAGGCCCCGGGCCAGTTGTCTCTCACCCTGTGTGCTTCACAAGTATGATGATTTCTATCTGTGACAAGGACTAGGAAGCACCACTGGAGGAGATGCCAGGGCTCAGCCTTGCCCAAGCTCCTCCCATGACAGTGAGCAGGGACAGACCAGGGCAGGGCAGGGACTCAGCCTGGAACGTCTGCCCCAGGCCAAGGGCTCACTCCCTGATGCGTGCAGCCTCTCCAGACCATTTCACAGGCCATCACTTACTGGGTCATGTCATGGCACACGGCCACAGGGGCAGGCAGTAGGTCCTGGGAGAAGGGGGCAGCTGACAGAAGAGGAAGAGCTGTTCCAGGCCCACTTTCACACTCAGATGTCTCTGGACTGAGCTCCCTGATAGAATAGGTCATTCTCAAGCACTTGCCAATTAGGGCTGAGCCCAAAAAGTCCAATCTCTGGGCCCCCAGGAGGTTCCCAGTGAGCCCTGCCGCAGAGGCACTCTTGAGGAAAGAGGAGTTCCTTCAGATGGGGCAGGCAGAGAGGTTCGGGGCCTTGGGAGGAGCACAGAGGCAGACAGAGGCCTTCAGCAAGGAGTCCCAGCGTCCAGTGAGCGGAGCCTGTGCCCAGGGTGTGGTCCAGAGCCCTGCTGGGTCCTGCAGGAAGGATGCCTTGTGGCTTCCCACCCTGTTCTGCAGAAACTGCCAAGGCTGGTGTCACCTCCTTCCCCCACTGCTGCCCTTCTCTCATCACTCCAAATGAGTGGCTCTTTGTACATGAAAGGAAAGCGACCTGCATGTGCCTTTAATCCTCCCGACGAAAGAAACACCGCTGTGTGACCCCACAGGAATGCTCCATCCCTGGTCCGGTGGGCGGGCAGATGGACAGATGAGCAGATGGATGCGTGGGTGGGGCATGATGAGATGCCCAACGTCTACTCCATGTCCCCTCCCTGGGTTTCCACTGTGCATGTGGAGTCTGCTTTCTCTCTGCGGCTCCATTCAAGGGCTCACTTGCATAACTGTGGGCAGTGGTCCTAGGCCCCCTGGATCTCCGGCAGTCAGAGCTGCAGGGCCCCAGCCATGGCCCACAGCCTCCACCCCAACCCCCACCATCTCACAAACAGGAAAATAGAGGTTCCGCCCGAGGTCCCAGTGAGACATAATAACGAGAGCTGCTCACACCGCATAGTAACGTCCCGGGCACTCTTCACAACCACTATGCGGCCAGCCACTGCCATTGTCCCCACCTGACAGATGCAAAGTGTGGCACAGACTGGAGAAGTCCAAGGGCTCACAGCCAGAAAGCGGCAGGACCAGGATTCGAACTTCAGAAACCACGCTCATCACCCCTGCAAGTTTTACTGCTTCCCTGCTGGACTCCAGGTGGCCCCCCTTCCCCAGCCTGCCTCCCTCTGCACCCTAAGCCCCCCGAGTCACTACCCAAGGCCCTGTGAAGGGCCTGCCTGAGCGCTGGCCATTCCCACAGCTATAACCCCAGCCCTGCAGAGTGCTGCCCCAGCCTGGGGGCCTGGGCTGAGAACTCCTGAGTGGAGTGAGCCCCGACTCACCTGGAGTCTGGGGAACCCATCACTGGCCTGAGCCTCAGCCTCCCTTAAAGGAGGCTGGGTAAGAGGAGTCAGGGACCCCACTGCCTCTGAGACTACGGGGCACCTCCACTCAGTATTCAGAGGGCCCCACCCGCCCCAGCAGAACCCAGGCTGCTCCGCCCTGACACAGAGGGGGCCGCTGCCCCAAGAAGCACACCTGGCTGGGTGGGACCCTCCCACTTTCCCGTCCTATACAAGCCCTCCCACCCCCACTACCACCGGGTAACCTTACCCGTCCTAAGAGTACTCACCACATCTGGCAGCTGCTGATTTGAATGAGGAAGGGCCTCAAAAGGCACCAAATCACCCCGGCCCCGAATAAGGGGACATCCTAAGAAGCTGTCTGAAGGCACATCATCCCACAAATCACACACTTCTCCCTGGGCCACAGTGACCACAAAATCCACGTTCAAACAAGCCCCAAGCACTGTGCCTTTCCAGTCTGCAGGGGTCCCAACCCCCCTCACCACACCCTTCCTAGTTGGGACAATCCAGGAACTTGCCCCCTTTCTGCAGGCCACCCCCAACCACTGCACCTCCCAGTCGCTCAGGTGAGGTCCCAGAAGGGCCTGACTCACTTGGTTCTGATGCAGAGCTCAAGGGGCGGGACGAGGTCACTGTCTCTGTCCTCAGGGACGGTCTGGGAGGTGTCTGGGGAGCAGGGGGAGAGAGGCAGACACTCATCAGCCCAGGGCCCGAGCTCACCCCGAGGTCAGCACCAACAACCCTGCTCCTAGGGCCCACTTCTGGCACCGGCCTCTCTTCTCTTCTCAGTTGGACCCTCCTTCATTCCTGCCCGTCGGTTCTGACCTGGACACCATAGCACCCTACTCTCTGGCCTCCCATCTCCAGTCTCTACCCTACCTTCCTGCCCCCTTTCAGGTACCAGAATAATCCTTCTAAAAGCACATCTCATCCCCTCACTCCCCTGCTCCAAAACCTTCCATGGCTCCCCACTGCCCAGAGAATAATGTGGGCGTGACTCTCTCCTACATAGTCTCAACCTCACCTTACACCTTTTACACCATGAGTTTCCCAAGGCTCAGCTCTGGCCCCTCTGGCAGGAGGACTGGCTCACACTCGCCCTCTGATCTCCCAGTACCAGTCGAGTCTGCATTGTTTTCTGACTGCTCTGAGCAGGCGAGCTAAGGCCAGTGTCCCCGGCACAGAGGATGCACAGGGACGGGGCGGGGAGGTGGCACACCAATGGTCAGCCGGATCTGCTCCTGCTGGTTGGCCAGACCGTCGTAGTAGTACAGGTCAAAAAGCCTCTCGGTCTTCCAGTCACTCAGGAGCTCCAGCTGCAGGCTGAAGAGGACACTGAAGTGGCTCTCGCTGCATACCACCCAGATGGGGAACTTCGGCGTCTTCAGGAAGCAGCCAACCTGGACGAGGAAGCGGGAGAGGACAGAGACACCTGAAGCACCGCGCCATCCCCAGGGAAGGGGGCCGGAGCATCTTCTGTCCACCCCCAGGCACGGGCTGACCTCAGCGAGGCCCTGTTGGGGATGACAGTCTGTGTGTGCTGCTCACCGACACAGAGCTGTCCCTGCCCACACAGCCCGCTGCCCAGAGGGCCTTTGCCCCACCATCATATGGAGATATCCCAGCCTGAAACCTGGGCATCACCCCTCCCCTTCACCTCCCACATCCAGCTGGTATGTGATGTTGCCCACTCTGCCTCCGAAAGCTCCCTCATGCCCAGCCTCTCCTCCCCAGGCAATGACCTCTAACCAGTTCTTCCCACGCCCTCCCCTCCCCAGCCACAGCCACACAGAGCCTCTCACCAGTCCTCAAACTAACCCAGCATGGCAAGCTTCCATGCTGGGCATTCACTGTCCACCAGCACACCTCTCCTCCCCTTCGGGGTCCTGCATCACCCGATTACCCAATCAGGGAGCACAAATCTCATCCTCCTGCTAGCTTCCGGGGTGGAGGTTGGGGGTGGGGTCCTCTGAACTAGGTACTGGGTACCCAACCTCCTCTGCCTCATGATAGCGTTCACCTACGCCTTGCATGCGGGAGTATACCCTTAGCACCGAGAGCAGAGGCTAAGTCAACATCAGCAAGCATTTGATGAATGAAGGTCCCTGTGGATGAACACAACTTGAGCTAGAACTGTAGTTTGAAGACAGGTGGGACTTGGAGCCACGGGGAGAAGTGGGGAGGGCATCTGAGTGAGCAGTCTGTGAGTGATGCCAGGAACAAATGTCCAGAGACATTCAGGGACCAGCAGGAAAGAGAGCAAGAGGAGGGGAGGATAAGGAGCTGGAACTTCCTTTGGAGACGGGGGTCCCTTGGAAGGTTCCCAGCAGAGGACATTCATGGTAGAGAGGTGCTGGAGGAAGGCAGATGCACAACGTCAGCATCCAGGCCTTGCTGTCGTTCTGCCTGCAAAGGAGAAAGGCCTGGGGAGCCCTCTGAAGGCCTACTCAGATGCCTGGCTGGTTCGGCTGCTTGGCCAGACAGACCTCCATGCATTCTCTCCCCATCACCCGGGACTCCCTAGCCCAGGCCCACGTTTATTCATTTCCCTACGTGCAGTGGGCCAGGCTGATTCGGCCTAATCCCCGCCAGCCCCAGGGAGATGTTTGCATGCTCAGGTATTTACAGGCACAGCCTGTGGATTAAGGAAAGAATGGGAATTATTTTTCCAGTGGGGAGATGGGCATACTTTCTCCAGGGCCCATCACAGAGGAGTGACTGGGCAGCCTCTCAGAGCCCACCTGGAGCCGACTCTGGGCTGGGGTGTCTCGGACAGAGGGGCTGTGCTCAGAAGGCCCCACGCTAGGTCTCCAGAGAAATGGCTGCCTGTGAACAGCTACCTCCTCTGGAGGGTAGCAGGGAGAACTTTACAAAAAGTGTTCATTTCCTTGCTGTCCAAGTGCCCTGCCCCGCCCCCCCAAGTGGCCAGTTGGGTCCTCACCCTAGCCCCCTGCGACTTTAAAGTGTGACTGCAGAGCTCACTCCTCGGTGGGATGGGGGAGGATTAGTTGTCTTAAAGGACGTGGCTGGACGTGCCTAAACCCCGCTGCAAACTTGGCTCCTGTTCCAGGTTCCAAGAGGCTTTTCTGGTGAGGGCATCACCTCGAACAGGGAGCCTTGAAGACTGGGGACCTGGTGCTCATTCACTGTAGGAAAAAGAGCCACGCAGCCCGCCAGGGAACAGGCAACTGCAGAATCAGCCACCCTGAATTTTCCAGCAGAGGGACAAAAGGGCAGCTTGCCATTTATGCAACAGTCAAAAGATTAAGGGCAAAAAAGCCGCCCAGGGAGTTTATAAATGAGTTTTCTCATTCAAGAGCCCCTTCCAAGTGGGTGAAATTTTCCAAAGATGAAATTCGCTTCCTTTGGATTCTGCGGTAGCTGACCAAAGGCCTGGGGCAAGGCAGGGTGCATTGCAGGGTACATTTCCTCCAGCATAGCCCCATCCTTTCTCCTGGTGTGTGAACATGCAGCACAGTTAGAGATTACAGTTGACCCTTGAACAATGTGGGTTTGAACCATGTGGGTCCACTTATACATGGATATTTTTCAATAGTAAATACTACAATTGGTTGAATCCTTGGGTGCAGAGGAATGGCGGATACAAAGGGCTGACTATAAATCATACGTGGATTAAGCCCCTCATTGCTCAAGGGCCAACTTGTACTTTTAAATGGGCTCTTCCATCTTTAGCAGGGGTGGGGTGGGTGAATGCCCCCAACCCCACTGCAGACTGTCAGCTCCGAAGCCCTGATTTAAAAAGCTCAACATTTGATTGCTGGCAGAGTGAGGGTTGGTCATCTCCAAGGATAGCATCCGTTCAACATGACTCACACTTCGGTCCCAGGCACAGGGCAAGGCAATGAGGACAGAGGTGAAGGACACTAGAACAGCCTGTCCCTATGGGATTACCAGATGAATGCGGAGGAAACAGACAACAAATAATCACACAGACTCATTTGCACCGCATTTCACTGAATTTGAGATGCCATCAGATTCACCATTATCTTTTGTAAGAAAGCAAGCAGGCTGGCAATTGAAGTCTGCCACACCACTGACAGGTTGCAATAATGCACCAAAATCTCAGCAATGTTCAAGTGTGGGGCAAGTCTGCATCTCAAAAGCAATGAAATGGGATAATGTAAAACCAAGAGGAGGCCTGCGAAGGAAAGAATTTAAGATTCTATGACGGAGGATGACAAGGTGGGCTGGGGACCACGAAAGCCGACCTCTATTTAGATAGAGTGAAGAGGTCAGAAAAGGCTTCCCTTAGAAAGCGACAGCTGAGCCAAAACATGAAGGGGGTAAAGCAGCGACAGGTCTCATAGGGCCTCGCAGGCCGTGGGAAGGTCTGGACGGCAGTCTCTGTATTCGCTTGCCAGATCTGGGTAACAGGCTCCACAGACTGGGCAGCCCAAACAACAGAAATGTATTTTCTCACAAGTCTGGAGCCCAGAGATCCCGGATTAAGGTGCTGGCAGAGCTGGTTTCTTCTGAGGCTTCTCTCCTTGGCTTGTAGACGAACGTCTTCTCCCTGCATCTTCACGTGGCCTTCCCTGTGTGTGCCTGTGTCCTAATCCCCTCTTCTTATAAGGACACCAGCCAGATGGATTAGGGCCCAACCATATGACTTTCTTTTACCCTAGTTATGTCTTCAATGGCCTTGTCTCCAAATGCAGTCACCTTCCCAGGTGCTGGGGCCAGGACTCCAACAGATGAACGTTGGGGAGGGGACAACAATTCGGCCATGACAGTCTCAGAGGACAGGGAAACCAGGGAAGGTTGCTAAGCAAAGGGATGATGTGACTGATCTACTCCTTTAAAGATCACACTGGCTTCAGTGAAGGGACAGGATTGGAAGGAGGTGGGGACAGGAGCCAAAGGCCAGCCAGGCTGTCGCAGGCGTCCAGACCGAGTGATGCTGATGGTTCAGATTGGGATGAAAGTGGACAGACTTGAGAAACCACTTAGGGCAGGAGCCCCATGACCTCCCGATGTGTCAGACAGGCTCCTGGTTTGAGAAGCTGGGTGGATGGTGCCGTCTGCGGAGCTGGGACACACGGGAGAGGATGGCGTTTGCAGAGCTCTCCCTGCCAAGCCGTCTTTGCCCAACTCCCTTCATGAAGGCAGCAATGAATGTGACTTATAGGTCATGGGGAAGCCCTGGGGTTAAACTTCCTGTGCCGTGCTGTCCTTTCCTGGCCTAGCAGTCCCCCATCACCACTGCCCCTGTGAGCCAGGTGGGGCTGGTCTTCCCACTGCAGCCTGCAGTGCAGTCCAGCCCTCACTTTGAGCTCTGGGATGAAGGGAGTGAAGGGGAAGTCAGACGGGCAAGACTGGCCCAGTGGGTCACAGATAGCAGATAAGGTCCCATAGGACATAGCCAGGCTGGGGCGGAGGGCCGGTTACTTACAGCAGGAGTGCATTTCTTGGCCTTGGGTTGCCTCTGATTAACCCAGGCGCAGCCAGAATGTGGGTCACCTGACAAGCTCACCAATGGGCATGACCTATCGCCCCCCACATATTCGTAAGGGCCCCAGAACCCTGGCTCCCAGTCAGAGGCTGCACCAAGAAACATGGAGATGGGCTGCAAGTGAGAGGCAGGCCTGGTTCTATTGTCTACATGAAAGAAAGCCTTCAGCCTTACCAGAACAGCCCTGCTGTGGATGCCATGACCAGGCTGCCCCCGATGCCAGACTGTCCCCATGACCACCTATGTGCTGCTCAGTGGAGGAAGACCAGGCCAGGCCAGAGTGTGGGCCCTGGCTCTGGGTCCAGGTCTGGACCTGGATGCTAAACCTCCTTGGATTCCTTCTCTGTTCACTAATCACGGAGGAACTCAGCAACAGATGGCATAGCGGGTGGAGTTAAGGGAGAGGAAAGCGCTTTGCTGAAACTGCCAGGCCTCTATCTTCTCCTTCAGAGGCTGAACCCTCAGTGAGCTCTGGGGAGAAGGAGAGGGACCCAAGGCTCCTTCTTTAGCAAGGTTGCAGTCCCAAGGCAGAGGAGCAAACCACCTCTTGCTGCAGAGAGATAATGCTCCTAGTCTTTGACCAAGCACAGCAACAAAGAGGGGGGTCCATGGGGATTCAAGGATTTGGATCATTGTAAGGCCTGAATTTCTGCAATCAGCATTTCATTCCAAGGGAAGAATGATACCCAACTGATGTTCCCATCAATTACCCTCAAAAGACCAAAGAAAAATAGTTTACTTTTTGACCAACGCCCTCCACACAAGAGTAAAACCAGGGCTCGTGGTAAACCTGGGGATTCTGCGAGCCTGGCCAAGGTTACCCCTCTTAGCTCGCAGAATTTCAGGCTGAAAGCTTTCAGAGCCCACCCAGGGTCTGACGCTCAGGGTTCCTCGTGCATCCCACGGGCCATGTGGCCACATTCTTGGGGTTCCTCCTAACACCAGCACATCTGGGAAGGAGTCACTATCATTCTTTTCTCCCCAAATCTTTGGAGCCCACAAGTCTGTTTCCTGTCTTTGGGGGTAGGGAGGTCACCCAGAGAGAGGATCTGGGGACAGGGCCATGTCACGTGGCCCATTAGCAATGGGACAGCACATCTCAACATGTGGTCGTGCAGGAAGGGCACAATGAAATTGAGCCCTGCCTTAAAGTGCCAGTCTCCACCCACTCTGCAAATCCATCCACCTACCATGCTCTGAGTGTCCCCTTGGCCAGTCTCTGTGTCCCTGGTCCTGGGGATATAAGATGAATCAGGTCTCATCTTGACCCTTTGCTGGGCCACTCAGCACATAAAGATCTGCTAGCCCTTGAGGACAACCCTTTTCAGGTAATCAACCACAGAGCAATTTCTTCCCTAAAGACATGAAAACCGAGGTTCAAAGTTCTGCAGCAGGGTGGGACAAGAACACAGGGCCCTGGGTGTTCCTCTGCCCACACTGCCCAGAGAGACTGTCACCCTGTCCCCTGCTCAGCTTCACCTAGAGGTCTGGCCCTTTCTAAGACCCTGGCTGCAGGACGAGAGAAGGTAGGGGGACCAATACACTCACAAACAGACTGAGTGAGCCCTGTTACAGGTTGAACTGTGTCCCTCCAAACTGTGGACGTCCTAGCCCCTAGCACCTCAGAATGTGGCCTTATTTGGAAATAGGATTGTTGCAGATGTAATTAGTGAAGGTGAGGTTAGTGGAGGAGGGTGGGCCCAGAATCCAGCATGACTGACAGCCTCATAAGAAAAGCAGACACGGAGGGAGAAGATGGCCACATGACACCAGAGGCAGAGATTGGAGTGACGCATGTACAGGCCAAGGATGTGTGTGTGAAAAACACCAAAAACTAGAAGAGAAGAGGAGGGATTCTCCCTATGGGTTTTGGGGGGAGCACAGCCCTGTCCACACCTTGCTTTTTTACTGTTAGGAGAATTTCTGCTCCAGAATGATGAGACAAGACATTTTTGTTGTTTTAGGCCACCTAGTTTATGGTGCTTTGTTGTGACAGTCCTAGGGAACCAACATAAAGCTAAGACCTCAGGCCCAACGTGCTCACACACACACACACACGGCAACAGCAGCCACTCTGACCCACGGTCACACCATAAATCTCCTGAAGTCCCTTTCAAACAGCCTCTCCCAGAACATGGTATCCGCTGGCTCTGGGTGTGAATTCGTGCCTGTACTGGTTGGCAGTGAAGGTGCACTTTTCCCAAACCCTCCATGATGGAGGCTAGACCCGGCTCTGGGAACGGGAGTCGAATTCTGCTTCCCCTCCCTCCTTCCCGGGGGTCCCTCAGTACCTGGCACACGTTGTAGTGCTCAAAGAGAGACAGGAAGCCGACGTCACTGCGTGTGGCGATGCCTTTGAGGAGCGTGATGTTCCCGTCCCCAGAGTCCAGCTCGACCACGTTATTGAAAACATTGGACACAGCTTTCCCGGTCAGGAGCAGATTGACAAGTTCCTGTTGATGAGAGAAAGGGGAAAGGCTTGTCAAGGGGAGATGGGCAGCAAGAGACAAAGGGCAGAGAAGGAAGGAAAGAAAGCAAGGAGGGCGAGGGGCCGAAATCTGGGGCGGGGGGGCTGTGACTTCCGCATTCCCACAGCCCTAAGGGAAAGTCGCCAACTCTGCCCATCAAAGCGACTCTGGGAACTCATCAATCTTCGTCCCACGCATTCACTGAGGGCCAATGTGCCCAAGACCCTGTCCTAAGCCCTGCATATGTCTCTGTGTTGTTGCGGGGGTGGGTGGCTCCTGACCTCGGGCATCCGGGTCTAGAGAGAGGATCAGCTGTGGGCCTGGATGGCTGGAGCACATTGTAAGATGTGACTGAGACTATAAACATGTGTGCACAGGGCACTCACAGCCCAGGCGGACACAACCCCATGACAGAGTCAGAGCTGCTTTGTGGAGAAGTGACACTTGGGTGGGTCTTGAAGGACGGCATTTTTTTTAAATAAACTTTTTTTTATTTTGAAATAGTTTTAGACTCAAAAGATGGTATAAAAATAGCACAGAGTTCCTGTGTACCCTTCACCCGGCTTCCCCCAGTGATAACATCTTGTAAAACCACAGTACACTATCAACACCAGGAAGCTGACCACGAGGCGATACGAATAATCCATCTCCAGGCCATGTTTGGATTTCACCGCTGACCTGACGGTGGGGCCTTCAAGCTGGGAGGGAGAGGAGAGGACAGCAGCGGCAGAGAGGCGGAAGTAGGGTTTCCACTCTTGTCTCTGCCCCACCAGCTGCGGGGCATCGGGGGTCCACTGGCCATGGGACTCATGCTGCACACCCGATGGGCCAGCAAGCCTGCCGACCCCGGAACCCGGAGACGGCGACTTGTGGCGCCCCGACTCTCCGGCCGTCTCCTTCAGCCAGTGCCTCCTGCACCGAGGTGGCTGTAAGGGCCCTTCCTCAAGCAGGGCACCCAGGGTCCAGTCTCCTGCTAGGAATGGGGAAACAGGCTCACAGCTGGGAAAGGATTTGCCTTTCACTAACACAGCTGGTTAGTGACAGAGCTGGACTTCTCTCCTCACTTTCTGGCTCCCTGTCCAGTGTCCCTTCCCTCTCCCGTCACTTGTTACCCTCAGGGTACCACCTGGCTGGTCAAAGATTCAAGATGAAGGGTGACCTCTAAGCACCTGCTCCGCTGCTGAGGAAGGAGTCACACGAGCCCGGCCCAAGCGCCGCGGCAGGACCTTCTGCCTAAGCCCCTCCTGCCGGGCTGGTAGGTGTGTGAGGCCAGCAGGCAGGAGTCTCCCCAGAGGGGTGTGGGAACGGCCATGACAGCCCTTGTCCATCGTAAACTCTGGAGGGCAGAGTTCACAGAAGTGTTTCCCCTGAATTGTGAGAGTGATGCCCAGGTTGATAAATCCCTCTGTCAACACCAGGATGCTGGCCTCACTGGCAGTAAAAGAGGCCCCTCTGATGGCCACCGAGGGACCCCCACTGGAGGAAGATACCGAGGGGGCTGCATTGTGTTCTTGCGGAGGAAATGAGAAAGAATTTGGAGGAAATGTCTGCTCTGAGATACTGCACCCCAGGGGCAGTGGTTGCCTAAGAAAGGCACGACCTTCTTCAGACATGTTCGAGTGTTCCCATCTGGTTTTCAAGGGGGAACAAGGTCCTGCACCCCACCTAGGATGTGTCTCAAAACTTCCCTTAGAGCAGGAAGCCTTCTCAAAATGGGGGAGAAGGGACAACAGGCCACTTCTTGCTCCAAGACTCAAAATCACACAGTGATAAAGCTTAGAGATCATCTAGTCCCTTGCCGCTCAAAGTGTGGCCCGCGGACCAGCAGAGTCACCCTTCCTGGGAGCTGTTAGAAATTCAAAACCTCAGGCCCCAGCCATTGACTCTGAGCCTGCTCTTCAACAAGACCCTGGGGGACTTTTGTGAACATCCAAGTTTCAGAAGCACTGGTCTAGTCCAGATGCCTCATTCTACAAATGAGGAAACCAGGCTTCAGGGAGGGGAAGAAAATCACCCAGGCTCATTCCACAGCCAGCACAGTTCAGAATTCAGCCCCAGACTCTGGCCGCATCCTCTGTACCCTGCTTAACTGCCCACCCCTGGGCCCCACTGCTCTCTGCCTGCCCATGGGGAAGCTCCCACAGGGAGGATGGACACCTAGAGTGGGATCTGGACCACCCTGGTTGGTCGTTCAGCCTGAAACCCTTCCTAGTGGGGGCCGCAGCCAACCCCACATCTCCTTGGGTACCTTGGATAAACCACAGGCCCTGAGCTGGCCCCTGCATGGTGCCCAGGTATGTTTTCAGGGCTGACACAAGTGAGCCAGGACCCCCTAAGATAACTGGGTCCTCAGCTGGGCCCAGCAGACAGAGCAGCTCTGCCTAGCCTGTCTGTGCTACACACATTGCCCCTGGATGCACCGTGGATCAGATTAACTGTGGCCCAGGGGCCACCTGGGGAGGCCTTGCCATGCAGAGGAAGGCTCAGACAGAAGCCAGGTGTAGCATTTGGCTCCCAGTCCTGATGCTCGCTGATAGGATCTTGAACAGACCCCTTCCCTGTGTCACCAGGTGACTGGGAGTATTGATAATAAGCAACTGTGCCAAGGGTCCCCCCACTGCCCTCCACAAGGCCCTTTGAAGTCCCCTTTATGAAGATGAAGAAGGTCATTATAAAGACAGTGTCCTGTGCAAATGTTCAGGGTGCCATGGCTGTCATCTCCCCAGCTGGATCCAGGGACCCCAGCCTGTGCCGCAGCTCTGCACTGGACGGCGCCTGGGTCTGCCTCTTTTGCATCTCCTGCAGCTCCACACATACAGATCAAGCACAGCAAACTCCAGAAACAGAAGCTAATCTGAGTTCCCTCTCTAGGTCTTCATGATGCGGAAGCCCAGCAGAGGTGGAACATGAAAGCAGCAGGGGCAAAGACAGAAGGGAAGAGGAAGGGAAAGAAGCACTGACTGCCCCACGCCCACTGTGCCCCTGACCTGCGTGCAGTATCCGTGTGCTCCAATCAGGTGGTTGGTGGGGACGTCGAAGTCCTGGCGGACGCTGGAGAACAAAAAGGAAGGGGTGTTAGCATGTCTCTGCCTAACTCAGGCTGCTGGGCAAAACCCTGGGTGGCCAGGGGTTCCCCCCCAGTTCCAGACTGAGGCCCAGAATTCTGGATTTGGTGGGAAGCTGAGCCTCTGCGCTCTGTGCCCTCCCTGGGGCTGAAGCCTGGGGCTCACTCTGCTCTGGCAAAGGCCTCCAGCCTGGCTTCACCAGGCCCTCTGCGGACACCAGAAGTCAGTGATGGAAGCATGCCGCAGCAGAAAGGGCCCCAGGTTGGGAATCCACGTTCTGCATTCACACCCCAGCTATCACTTACTAATGGTGGGGACTGGGGCATCCCTTGCCACCTCCCATTCTCAGTCTGCAAGTCTTTTAAATGGGAAGAATGGGTCTCTAATGCCTCCTTGAGTCCTAAAACAAGAGCTGCCACACCTGGGCGTAGACTCTGTACCAGGCCCTGCACACCCCTTATTCCCTACACTGAGAGGAAACTGGAGCTCAGGGGAGAATCGACTTGCCCAGGGAGCTGGGCCCATGGGCAGTGGAGCCGGTGGGGGACCTCCCTGCCAGTCTCAGATGTCACCTCTGTGGCTCCACCTTCAGAACGGGGTCCCCCAAAAGGTGCAAAATGAAAAGCCATTTTGCCGACAGAAATAGATTGCTAGGGTGGGATGCCATCCGGGGCCAGAATGATTCAGGGTGTCATGTCAGCAGTGGCCCTGTCACATGTGAGGTCAGCACCAGGGAGCAAGTCTCCCCATCCACAAATCTCAAAACCCTCCGGCCACCCAGAAAGCCCACCATTAGGACATTATTCCTTTGACCCCCAAAGCGAATCTCTCGGGAGACCATGCGTTATTGTTGAGCAGAGCCGTGGGCCGGGTAAACAGGAAAAGAGCTCCTGTATACAGGCCGCACTCAGAGGACAGCATTTCAACCCTCCAGCCACCCAGTGAGGTAGAAACCACTATGGACATGGAGAGAAGCTCAGAGAGGTAATGCCAGGGGGGTGATGTGAGGCCAGGAAGCCGGTTCCCCACACTGCCGCCCACCCAGCACGGGCCGTGGCCTGCCCTGCCCATCCCCACCCCAAAGAGAGCGCCCAGGGGCGGCCCAGAGGTAGGAAGAGCTGAGCAGTCATGCCGTTTGTTTCTCCTTCTAGAGAAGAGAAACCTGGTCTCAATTTTATGCTTTAAATCTAAGATCTGCCAGAAGTCCACAAATCTAAAATCCACACCCTGGTCCCTGCAAACTTCCAAATGAGCTGAGAAACTCAAGCTCCAGGACTCCTCAGGAGAAATGCTTTCTTGTGGTTTTCACTAACCGTGGCCCCACGGGGATGGTTTGTGGTCCACAAGAGAGGACGGGCTGGGCTGGCACTGCAGGGCCAGCTGAGAACCACGGAGGCCAGGGCTCCTTGGGAAAGGCCTTGGAGGCGGGCCTCACCCCGGAAGACAGCCCAGCGGGCCTGGGATGGAGCCGGCTAGGGGGAAGGGGGACAAGGAGCCGAGGGCAGCGCTCGACTGGTACCGGCTCCGGCAGAAGAATTGATGGAAATGCTTCCCGCGGCACATTCAGGCATCTTCTGAAAAGAAGAAAATAACCTCAGAGGAGCCCTGGGTGGACTGATAAGCATCGCTGGCCCTGAGCCACCCCAAGGCTTTCAGAAGCAGTCCGATCCTCGTAATCTCACAGCCTCGTGTTCACCCAGCGGGTTTGGGCGCCTGCGTCAGTTGAGAGAGAGCAGGGGGACATGCAGAAAGGACAATGGGAGGAAATGGTAATTGCATCCTTAGGTGCAAACACGATGGGAAATTTAGAAGTAGGCTCAGATCTTAAAAGGGAGGAACATCTGTATTTCATATTAGGGCATTCGGGAGACGCCAAGGAGCGGCTTATGGCTTAAGAGATTTACAACTTTGGCAAATCTAGATGCCCAGGCCTCCCTCTTGGGGAATTCCCTGGAGAGCTGAGTGTGAGGAGTCCGAGAGCAAGGAAACAGCGGCTTCTGCTCTGCCCGGAGAAGAGGGGACTCACACAGCACGGCCATCACCAGGCCCGATTTCTAGCCCCGACTAGCTGTGCAGCCACAAACCTCTCCTCTCTGGGCCTTGGTCTCCCCTTTTATAATATGAGGGGGTTGCACATGATGGGGGTGGTGTCCCCCAGAATGCATATGTTGAAGCCCTAGCTTTCAGTACCTCAGAATGTGACTATATTTGGAGATAAAGTGTTTCAAAGGGGTGATTAAGTTAACTGACCCCACCAGGGTGGGCCCTAATTCAACCTGACTGGTGTCCTTTTAAGAAGAGGAAACTTGGACACATGGTAGGACACCAGGGATGTGTGCCCACAGAGTAAAGACCATGTGAGGACACAGAGAAGACATGGCCATCTGCAGGCCAAGGAGAGCGGCCTCAGAGGACACCACCTCTGCAACACCTTGATCTTGGATCTCTGGCCTCCAGAACTGTGAGACAGCCGACCTCTGCAGCCTGAGCTCCCCAGGTGGCAGCCCTAGCAAACCAACACAAGGGGCTCCAACATCTTTCTTCAAATGAACTCTTACATGCAGAAGCCAATACGTGAAACACAAAGGCAGAGATGCTCTGGGCTGGAGGCAGTGCAAAGGCTGGTTCCATCCTTCTTCCTCTCCACCAGGCCCTGTGGCCCCTCTGGGGAACCCCTAGGTCTCCAAGGTCATGAAATGTCCTGAGAGCAGAGGCTGAATCAGTGGAGGGGCTGCCTGAGTTCTGAGGTTCCTACTTTTTTGAGCTTCTGAGGAGGGGCTTGGCCCTGGCTGCCCTGCCGCCAACCTCCTCAGCATCCTGGAAGCCAAAGTCCAGAACCTAACCAATGGTCTGGGGTGATGACCTGACCTTGGGGGTGTCCAGTCTACCCACTGTCAGAGGAAGGGGAGCAGAGAGCTCTGCCCAGGATGCCAGCAAGGACTGCTTCTCCCAGTTCTGCCCCCATCAGGAGGTCCCAGAGACACTGCATTGCACAAAGAAACAGAACAAAGCGGACGTCAGGGATGGCAGAGGCCTCAGGGCCCAGCATTTTGCAGACACAAGAATAGAAGCCTAGAGAGAGGACAAACTGGTCCAGGGCCAGTGGCAGGTGCCAGCCCACATTCAGGCCCGAAGCTGGCCCTAGGGCTCCATTGCCTACGTCCAGCCGGCCCTCCGTCACGGGGCTTAGAGGAGCAGAGGTTCTGCCACCGAGCAGCTTACAACACCCGAGCCTCGGCTCCGCAGAGTCTGCGGTCGCAGACACTTCCAGGTGCACTGCCCTCCCTCTACGGCCCTGTGAGGCCAGAGCCAGGGAACAGCCACCTCCGTTCTACTGATGGGGAAAGGAGAAGGGACTTGCAGTCCTGTGGTCAGAGTCGGTGGGCCAGGACTGTGTCCCTGGCACCAGTCTCACAACGTCCACTGTGGTCTGAAACACGTGATGGTCAGCCTGGCTGGCCAGCTCCAGGCAGGTCCCAGAGCCCTGAAGCCCCGTTCCTGGCTCCTCCCCTCCCCTACTGGGACACAGCTTGTCCCTTCACCCTAAAGCCTCCCCACCATGTGACCGAACACGTGAATCCAGGCATTTCGTACAGAAGTTTCTGAATAAGAAGGAAGATACGTCCAAGTGGCCTAAAACTATGGTTCCAGTCTACAGTCCAAGTCATTCACCTAAAATCAACGTCCACGAGAGGCGGGGTCAGGGGCCAGCTCGGCTTCAGGCTGGCTCAGTGACCTCAGGCAAGTTGCTGCCGACTTTCAGCCTGTGTCTTCATTTATAAAACCAGAGTCCTGGAGCCAGTGGTCTCTGGGGACCTTCTGGGATGTGAACAAGTGTGCCTGGTCCACGACTTTGATATTTAAAACATCATGCCTAAAATAGGCAGTGATTAACCCAGGAGGAGCCAGTCAGCCACCTCCCCTCCACCTGACCTCTGGGACGCCAGGCCCAGGCACCATCACATCCTCTGGGCCAGCTCCTGCCTGTCCCACCCAGGGAGACCTCTCCCCCAGAGAGACTGCGCCTTCCACTGCAGGCCCCGCTACCTGGAAGCAGCGGCTTCCAGAAACAATCACCCATTGTTCAGTGGGGTTTCTATTGACTCTCGAGGACAACATCAACATCAAAAAGGACAGCTGTGAAACAGCTAAGAGAACCTGGGCTCTGACTCAAATCCAGCTGCTCCTGCTTACCAGTTGCTCCCCTCTCTGAGCCTCAGTTTCCCTGCTTGCAAAATGGGTATGAAGATGCCTGCTTCTATTATAGATTGCTGTGAGAACTGAATGAGATGAAGTATTTAAAGCATTCGGAATTTAGTAAATGTCACTTCCTTTTTCCTATGATAACAGCAATAATAACAAGAAGAATAAAAAAAAAGGAAAACCCACAATGACTGAGAGGTCATGATTCCTGCAACCTCAACTGTTCGTACCATGGCCAAGAACCCAGAATAAATGGAGGTTCCCAGTGATGGAACTGGGGCCATGAATATCTGAAAAGGGTTTGGATAGAGCAGATATTAACTGTTTTCCCAGGAAAGCTGAGAGGAAATGGACAATGAGTCAGAACACACGGGTGTCAGGCCCCCTCTAGCGTGAGCGCTGTGTGACCTTTGGTAGATTGCTTTCCATCTCTGAGCCTTGGGTATGTCAACCCCTGATGGGAAGAACAATAACCACCTCACAGAGTTGTTGCAATAAGGGCTGAGGCCATAAAAAGGCCTTGCGAACTGCAGATAGCTCCACAGGTCGGAGGGAATGGTGTTATGTTCATTCTGCAGTCAGGGGCCCGGAGGAGGAAGGGGCCAGGTGGGGACCCAGGAAGCAGGGCAAGGACCGAGGATGGAGAGAGAGGGAGCTGCCTGGAGGAAGGAAGAGGAAGCAAAGATGCCTAAACCCTTCCCCCGCTGCCTTCCGCCTCACCACTCCCAGTCCTCTCCCCAGGTGCCAGTCCCTCTCTCCCAACCACACGTTGTACAATTGTTCCCTGCAAACCCCTCTGTCGGCCTTCGCCTACTTTGTTCTTGCTGTCCACCATAACCCTTCCCACACATCCCAGGGCCCTGTTAAATGTGGCCTCCTGCATAAAGAGACACCTCCCTTGCCCCTGGGAAGATGTGGTCCATGTCTCTGTGGACATCCCTTTCCTAAGAGCACCCACCCACTGTTTTTTGGGTGCTGGTCTTGCCCCTCCGGGCAGCAAGGACTTTGAGGGCCAGGGTTACATTGTGTCCATCTGCCTGTGGTGCCCAGAGCTCGGCCCTAACCTGCAGGTGCACAGTAAACGGGCGCTTAAGTGCGTGAGCCCACCACACCCAGGCCTGCAGAACGGCCTCCGGAAGCTGGATCCCAGGCGGCACTTGGAGGCAGCAGAAGCAAGCATCCCACCCAAGCAGCTGGGCTGCCTGGCACAGAAAGTTCTTCCAAAAGGTTAAAGGCCTCTCCCTCCTCCTGAGGCCTGTCCTCTTTACTTGGGCACCTGAGTGAGCCCTTCGTGGAACAAGGAGGTGCAGCCTTGGGTGGCTGGCTGCGCTGAGGGTCAGGAGACACTCCCAGCTCTACCACTAACTCCAGCGTGGCCTGAGCTTGGTCCCACTCCTCTGTATCCAGCCCTCAGGCTCAGTGTCCGTGGGCAGACTGGCCACCCTCAACCATGCCCTGCTGGCACTCACTGGCCATGACTTGCCATCTTAGCAGCCTGAGACCAGACCACGCCAGCTGAAATTAGGTGTAGAGTGAAGGTGGTGGATGAGCATCAGTTTGGTCTGAGCCTCCCTGTGGTCTTGCTTCCCACATCTCCTCCTAAGTGGGCAGACGCAGCCGAGCAGTGCCCATCATTCCTCCCCCAGCTCAGGAAGGGCGATGCAGGTACAGGAGACTTAGGTGATGCTGTCAGCTGTGCCGTCAACCTGGCCTTAATTCTCAGAGCCTTGGTCCCCACATCTGCAAAATAGGATAATGGCCCCAGGCCTATGGGCCTGCCCCTTGGGTTGCTGCCAGCCCCAAAAGCCCAGGGTGGGATGTTCCAGGCAGCCTCAGCTACTTGGGTGGGACGCTTGCTTCTGCCTGCTTCCAAGTACTGCATGGGATCCAGCTTCTGGAGGCGTTCCGCAGGGCTGGGTGTGGGCGGCTCACATAATTTAGGGTCCATCTGCTGTGTACCCGCAGGGGCCCAGGGCCCCTCTCAGCACCAGTCTTCTTCATGGTGAGGGAGCTGGCCAGAGAGCTACAGGATGGAGCTTTGGTCACTGCACAGGAGCTGGGGACTCCCAGGAAAGGAACCGGGGTGTGGAAGGAAAGAGCTGAAGGAAGTGGGGTCTGGGTGGAACACCTGTTGTTTCTGATGACAAAGGTATCGACAAGCCCTTTGGGTCTGTCTCCTGCCCACCACCTTGGCCTCTTCAGACACGTCTGCTGAGAGCACTCACTAGCATAGCCTCCACCTGCATCTGAATCCAGGTTAAAGGTGACTTGGAGTTCATTGAGAAAGTTCCTCTCCTGTTTCCCACCTATAGTCAAAAGAGCTTGACATGTTGGGAAGGAAGCGATTAACCATCCTGTCCGGTCTCCTGTG